GGGAGTGGAGGCCCCCCTCGGAAACGGCATCGAGGGGAGGTGGCGGCGGCGCCGCCGCTGACGCCCGCTGCCGCCGCCGCCGTTGCTGAGGAGGTGGCGGTTGCGCCGGCTGAAGGAAAGGACGAGGGGCAGGAACCTGGAGGCGGAGACGCCACCATGGGGGGGCGGGGGAGGGGGCGGGGGCGGGGGAGGTCTGGTCAGGGGTTGCAGGCTGCTGCGGGTGAGGGTGAGGGTGGTGGTGAGGGGAGGAGCCAGGGCCCACGAGGACGATCGAGGCCGGGGCCAAGGTCGCGGGGGGCGAGGAGGAGGAGGTCGCCGCCCCGGAACCCGTACGTGGCGGCCTGCCTGAGGGAGACGGGCGACCGGGAGTCAGGTGGGGAGGGGGGTGGATGGGTGGGTAGCTGGGGGGGGGGTAGGAATGGTGGGGGGGGGTACGGGTGCAATTTGCCATTTATTTTCCTGACCTCGTGGTGGTAGGGTGGAGGTTGCACGTGTCGTTGAAATGGAAATGGAGCTTAAGGGGGTGGGGAGGGGTGGGGAAGGGGTGGGGGGGGAAAAGCCCCTCACACTGAAACCCCCACACTGGCATGGCGACGGTCGTACATGACATCGGCCGCGCATGCGACATGTGCGCCCGGTAGCCGTCGGAGCAAGCATACTCACATACCCACATACATACTCACATACATACATACATACTCACACACACCCAACCTCACACACCCAACCTCACACACCCAACCTCACACACCCAACCTCACACACCCAACCTCACACCCAACCTCACACACACCCAACCTCACAGGCTCTGACGGTGACGACTGGTCCGACTTGGAGGACTTCATCGTGTGCCAGCCGGAGAGGGACTACGGGGCACTGCTCGCAAAGAAGTACTACTACGCGGCGGACGAGATGGACGAGCTGCAGGACGAGCAACAGGACGAGGAGGGGGTGACGGGGTGAGGCGAGGTGCTCACGGATTGCTGACGATGGGACCGGATCGGTGGGCTGCTGAGCTCCAATAATGGACACAGACAGACAGACGGACGGACAGACAGACAGACGGTCAGGGGGCCAACGAACGACAACGGGGGGATTGATATGCAGCTCGGTCGATCGTGACGTCACGTCGTGTCATATTTGGCTTTTTTGCCTTCTGCGAATTTGAAGGACGGCCGTCCGTACGGACGTGGATTCATTGTACGGGTACACGTGGGGGTTGGCGGCTGGGTGCAGTACGGTGGGACGAGCAACGGAAATGGAACAGCCAGGGGAAAGGAGTTCACCAGAGGGGCATCAGAGAGCGGCTCTCCCGACCCCCCACCCCCCACCCCACCCCCCACCCCGCCCCGCCCGCCCTAGGTATTTGCGGCTCGGGGGAGGTCCATGTTGACGAGGATGGTGGGGGAACGAGGAAGGGAGGGGGAAGGAGTGCGTGTTTGTGTATGTGTGTACGTGCGTATGTACGTATATCAATGGGGGGGGAGGACCGAGGTTAGGGGTGCTCTACTGACTGTTGACAGTGACCGTCGTACAGTATGTACATCGCACTTGTTAGAAGGTACAAGTTCCGCACGAATGCGGGGGGAGGGGGTGTCCGTCAAAGCCCGGGGGACCCATGGACTATATATATATTGAACGTCCATTCCGCCGTGCAACCGAAGGTGGTTCTGTAGACTTGTCGACAAGAGCTGAAGAGCTCTCTGCCAGCAAGGCCAGCAAGGACGGCCAGGTAGTGCTAGTGCTAGGTACATTGTAATGCCGTACAGTGCCAGGAGATGTTCCTTCCGCACCGCCGCACGCAGGTAGGAAGGGGAACCGGGGATTGGGTTGTCGTTTCTGTGTGTGTGTGTGTGTGTGTGTGTGTGTGTGTGTGTGAGAGAGAGAGAGAGAGGGGGAGGGAAAGAAATGTCCCCGGAATGTGCACGTGGGGGGGGGGGAGGTGAGCAGCGCCGTACGTTGGATTCCGTTCCTCACAGGCCCCTGGTTGTTGAAAGTATTACTGCTGCTGGCTTTAACACCCTGAAACCCGGTGAAGGGTGTGTGTGAGGATGTATCCAACACCCGAGTTACCCACACGCCCACCACCACAACGCCCTATTATCCGCCACAACCGCCACAACGGCCTGGTGGGGGTCTGGCAGCCGGAAAGCGGTGCTCGGTGAGAGCTAAGAAGAGGGGAAAGGCCGTGTTGAAAGGGGCAGGAGCAGGAGGGGGCCAGGTGGCCAGACAGGGCCATGCCGGGATGGATCCGCTGGCTGAAGGGTACGGAGCCGTACGGCACGGATGAGGATGGATCTCTTGTCGATCGACATTCAGCCGTCAGGCAGCCGAAGGTGGTGCCCTCACTCACCACTCACCTCATCCGCAGACACACACACACACACACACACACACACACACACACTAGCATGCCTTGCGTCCATGCGCCTCGAAGCGACTCACAGCCTGCCTGGATTCGGATGACGAAAGTACTACGAGCTTATCGTTACCGTTCCCAATCCCGTACAATATTCGGATATCAGTCCTGTCACACCCACAGTTGGACGCCATTCATGCGTTCATCCATTCAAAGTAGTGCCCCCCGGGAGGGAGCATCATGTACAGATGAGGAGAATGAGGGGACACGAACGACATGTACGTCATCACGTACGACAGACGATGCACAACACCAAACACCCTTTGGATGCGGCGATTGTTGTCTCGCCATCATCATCATCCCCCCCCTGGTCGCTCCCTTGTCAGTATTCGCGTTATGAATGAAGAACGGCAAATTTGGATTCGCATGGATGAGCTCCGTACTGCATTCCACGCCAGCTAGTCTGTGTATGTCTCACTCACCCGTAACGTAGAGGATCTGGACCTGGCCGCTGCCTATTATTTACTCGGGTGGGTGGTGCATTGGGAAGGGCCTGTGCAGGGAGAGGCGGGCTAGAACCCTGGACGGGCACCGAAAGCGGCGCCCGAGGTCTGCGGTCTCTGCGGTGTAGAGTCCAAATGTGCTGCTGCTACTGCTACTGCTACTGCGGCCGCTGTTTATGCACTGCATGGGATGAGGGTGGAACTGGTGCTGCTGCTGTGTTCATGGTGGTTTGCGGAAGATGGGAGATGATAAATAAAAAAGCTACGTGGGGGGGGGGGATTTGGTCACCCCGACGGCGAAACCCAGAAGGCACACGTTGGATCCTGAGCCTCAAAACATGGATGCTGACCTCCGTCAGAAAGGAGAAGGCACACACGCACTCGACATGTACGGAACGGAAAAGGCATTTTCCATTCATACATTTGTGTTTGCTTTCGTGTATCACCAGGAGGGGGGTTTTGAAGTGCTTTTTGATAACACGTCTCCTTGTGTGTTCAGACGCGCATATGCACCGCTGATTGGCTGGCTGGTGGCTGGACGAGGCGGGCTTTGCAAAGGTGCGCCGGACTCTGCATATGCATAAATATACTCTCGACGCGACAGACTGTCGGCGTGGCAGGTGGTGCACCTCTATCTCCCCGGGGCCTGGGAACGGGTGGTTAGTTTCCTAAAGGGGTAACGAGCAGGGGGGACCGATACACACACACACATACAGACGCCGATACGCACACATAGCCAGCAACGCCACCCCGGCCGCCCTCATAGCTCCGCTGTCTCTGTCCCCCCAGCCCGCAAGAGTCCGTCCAAAAGCTGACTGGAGGTGCGGACTGGGGCCCTCCCTTCACCCCTTCACTCACTCCCGGCAGGAGGACACAGCGACAGCCGGCCCCCCTTCAGAGGGCACCACGCACCTCCTCCCCCCCTATCACCAAGCCCCCGAAGATTTTCCTCCCATCTTCCCACCTCCTCACGAAACGCCGCACCCTCTTCCCCCCCCCCCCTACACACACACACCGCTGCCACACACCACCACGAGGACGAAAAGAAGATGTGTTTGTGCCGACGCGGCCAATGCACGACGTCGCCTCAACGGAGCGCCGGTAATGGGGGCAGGCAGTAATGCGACACAAATAGTAATTCTCAATTTCATTTGTGTACAATGGTGTACAGTAAGTAGGCTCGAGGGTGTCCACATCACCCCACCATCCTTACCGGTGAGTCCCCAATCACCCCCCACCTTTCTCACCCTGGCCCTCCCGCCCCGCAAACACTGGGACATACACACATACAGACACACTTGGGCGCGCAGGGCAACCCCGCCGGCCCGACACACGGCAGCCCAGGCAGCAGCCGGGTGATTGCCTGTCACGAGGTTTAGGTTCCGCCCCCCCCCGAGTGGTGTCGTACACACATGTCAAAATTTCAATACAGTAGGATAGGATACGAGCTGACACCAGGACAGTGTCGGTTGACACGAAACCGTTCCCGCGCACAGCCCCACGCACCAATAGGTCGCAAAAACCGTAAGCTACCTAAGGTATGGATGGGTGTGTGGCTCTCCTACACAGGGCACGACTCCTCAACCCGTCACCACCACCACCGCTGCACTGACACGTGACCTGGGTAGGTTAGGTAGGTTATCGCACAATACTCTCGTCCCGTTGCCGTACATGCACAAGCAGACAAAGACGATAACAAAAATACACCTCAGACCTCCGAAAGGGATGATGATCATTTCCCTTCCTCTTGCTTTTTGCCTTTTTGCGCCTTTGCCCTTCGTTTGCCCTTCGCTGCCAACCTTGCAATTAAAAGCATAGAACACAAAAGCAACGTGCAGCACACAGCACATGAAGCCACGCAGCAGCAGCGGCTTAGACACCGCACCCAAGTATATGAAATACAGGAGGAAGGGAAAGGAACCCACACTGCCCGACGGCGTGCCGGCGTCGGTGATAGAAGCACGGCGAAAGTGCTTAAAAGCATAAAAGCAGGGACTCCCCCGCTGTGCGACACTTAACAGCAATTTAAGACTTTTTGCCCACCCGCGAGAGACACGGATGTGGTCAGGCGGGGGGGGGGGCGAGGGACCCCAAGACGCGCCGTACACCCCGTGTGTGTGTCTCTGTGTGTGTGTGTGTACGAACCCCCTGCCTCTTAACTTCCCACCAGCCATTGCGCATCGACGCCCACACCGTGTGCAGTTGGTCCTCCCTCGCCAACAACCAACGAGCTAACCGATGAAAACGCAAACCAACTAAAAACGAAATGTACGGAAGACTCCCCTCCGGGGTTCAAAAGTCAGGTCGAGGGGGCTGCGCTGCTGCAGCAAAGACAAAAAAATGTCGACACTAGTAAAACCGGGGGTAAGGCCCTCTGCCCGCAAGAAGCAAGGCGAGGCGCTCTCCCGCCTTTCACCGCCGGCCGGCCGCATTTGAGAAAAACGTCTTTTGTTCCTCCTCAGCTCGCAAAGCCTTCATGGCAAGTCTTCTTCTTTTACTCTTACTTCATTTCCTTCGCCCCCTTCCGTTTCGGATGTCCCTACTGCATGGCATTACACAACAACCTCCCTCAGAGCAACCAGCTGAACTGAACTTAGTGTTACATACAGCAACTGTAGAGCAACGAACACACGTGCGGCCCTACATACATACATACATGCGTGCAGCGGAAACAACACACCGTCTCACACATACACACACAGGGACGCGAAAAAAGGTTACTACACCTTCAATTATATACTCCTCTTCGTGTCAGACCTCCCTCCCTGCACCTCCCCCCACCCCCGCTTGCCGCCTATGCTGCTATCTTCCAAGGCACCGCTGGCGGGGGGAGGGAGGGGGGGGAAACGTGTGCGGAGGATGGTATGAAGGAGAGAGCTCACCCGTCCTTACGTATCATGAAGAGAATTCAGAGCTGCAGACCTCCCACATGACGCAGCGGCGTACACAGCACACCGCCACCACCATCACCACCACCCACCCACCACCACCACCACCTCACCCCAAACTCCCACCCCAGTTAGCAACTCCCCTAGGACTCTTCTCCCCCCTCCTCCGCCTCCGCGTGATCACCCCCCCATGAGAAGGAATTTGCAAGGAATCCTTGCAAATGAAGCTTTTTTATCGGGGGAAACAAAACACACACACACGGACACACTCCTCGTTCCGAATACCCCCCCTCCTCCTCCTCACCTACCCTCACCAACATACAATTCCCCCTTTCCCTTTTATGCCTCTGCCGCACCACTTTCACGCCCACTCGCTCACTATACAACAACCGCAACCCTGCTAAAATGCTGCTGTGGCTCCTCCCCTCCGCCGCCTCTCCTCCTCCTCCCTCTTTCCTCCGCTTCGACGTGCCCATACGCTTCCCCTCCTCCCCCTTTCCCCCCCCTTTCCTCCAGCAAGGTGAAAAAACCTCCTCCTCTGGTAAAGCCCTGTTGCTGTACTCAGTGGGTTGCAGCCACAGCGCCAATGTTTCACCTGAAGGCTCCAACAACCTCGAGGAAGGCGAGCAGGAGGACACCGCTACAACCGCTCTATTCACGAGGACGGCACCTGAATGCCGGCTGGCTACCAGCATACTTACCTACCTACATACATACACAGCCCCCTCCCCCGCCCCTACAACCTCCTACCCCACCTCCACCAACCGGCACCTGCGTGGGCCCCTCCCCACCCCCCCCCACATCCATGTACTCCTCCCCTGCACCGCCGTTCCCCACCGGCGTTATGGCGCCCCCCCCCTCAAAGAAAGGCGAACCCCCCCCAAATCACTCCACGTCATCAATCACGTGCGGCGCTGCTCCGCATTCTGCGCACTGGCCGCCAGCCTCCTGAACTCGTCCCGGTACCTGGCGGCCTCCTCGTAGCGCCCGTCGTTGAGCGCCGTCTCCATGGCCACCACCAGCCGCAGCAGCGCGTTGTGAGTCATCTCGTGGTAGATGAGCTGCTGCATCTGGTGGGCGTCCTCGAACCGCTCCTCCTTCACGGCCAGGTCCTTCTGGAGGGTGTACATGACTGCAGGGACGGACAGACGGACGGACGGAAGGTAGACAAACAGAAGGACGGGTGGGAAAGGAGGGGGAGCCAGGGAGGGGAGCTGTGCGGGGGGAATTATGATATCATAATGGTAATGGCGATGGTGACAGGGGAGGGGTGGGGAGGGGGGGCAGCCTGGAGCAAAGGGAGCAAAGGGAGCAGAGGGAGCAAAGGGAGGGGGAGGTACGTATGCAAAGTCTTCTGACAGTGGTAAAAAGACGCCACCGCCAACTACCCACGGCGGGGGGAACTTGGGGCGCTTGTGGTCATGACGGCGAAGGAAGTCAGTCGGCTTCTGGGGGCCTGTCTGTGTTCTCAGACAAAGATATAAATAGGCAGGTGGCTGGCAGAGGTTAAGGCCTGACTTCTGCTCCCGGAGGTTCCGGGTTCAAATCCGCCTGCCGACCTCTCGGTGTGTGAGGGGTGTTGAATTGGGAGGTGCCCCCCCATCTTGTGGACGGTGTAGGTCGTGATTATATCAACTTGCGAGCTGATCAGACACTAAGTTTAGGCGCCGTTGATCCGCTAGATTTAGTTGGATGCTGGTGGTGAGTTGCTGAACTCAACGATTACATTCTGAAGTCGGATGGGGTGAATGGATTAGGGTGCCCCTCTCGCAGGGGAGAGCAGGGACAGAACTGCCTCGGGAAAGGGGGCCGTTGATGAAGCTATACCACCCTGTAACAACATCATATTCGTCCGTCAACCAGTCTGTGCACTTCTTGCTGCAACGCCTTGTAGGATGTCCACTTTTCCTGCGCTGCGTGCTTCCGGGCCGGGGTCTCCATATCTCTCATGATCAAACGCAGCCTCAAAGGCTGTGCGTGTTGCGCTTGTCGCCTCTGTGTGACATCCCTCTTCGATATCCCACAAGGCAGACCGGCCGGCGGGCCAATAAACGTTGTACGCAAAGAGCCCCTGCCAAGGACGACCCCCCCAAGTGGGAGGAGGGTAGCAGCCGAGGGGGTCGTCCGCTCCCCGCTCCCTGCTCGGACTGCCTCCATGTCTCCTGGGTGGTGGTACACACTGGTGGACCCCCCGGCCCCCGCCTAAACACACCCGCCTGCCCACCTGCCGCGTCGCACTCATCTACGGGACCCGTGAGTCCGCTCGGGGCTCCCGCAACTGCCATTGTTTCTTCTCCCTCCTCCCCTCTACCTTTCCCAACCTTTACTCCTCATCCTCCCTCCTCCCTCAACCTCATCCTCCCTCCCTTCCTTGCTCCCTTCCCTTGCCCGACCCCTCCCTTGCCCGACCCCTCCCTGCCCTCGCTCGCTTGCTCCGTCTAATGCACATCTAGTCCACATCCAATCCGCACCTCCCTCCCTTGTCAGGAGTGTTTCGTCCCTCCCTTGTAAAGAGTGTTTCGCCCCGGCCCCATCCGCAGTCCCTGGCCCCCACCCTTACCAGTAGGGTCCTCAAAGCTGGCCATTGTCTCCCGTACCGACCGTACAATCTCCGTATTCGTTTCACTGGTGGTGGTGACGGGCTGGTCCGGGTACGGCGTCCCTGCCGTATCTGCGATCTTCTTGGCGACGTACATGGGCGACCCAAATCGAACCGCCAGGTTGATGGCGTCGCTGGGCCGGGCGTCCACATCCACCTCCGTTCCCGGGTCGGGCAACCCGGTCGCGTCGTTTACGCGGGCCAAATGAATCCGGGCGTAGTAGGTGTTCGCTACAATGTCGGTGATCCGGATTTTAACAACACGAAATTTGATTTCCCTGGGCAGGTAGGTAACATGGACAGGTAGGTATGCAGGTGTGGCAGGTTGGTGTTTGGGGCTTCAGTACGGTGGTGAAAGTAAGACTAACGCCGAGTATGACGTATATGGGTGGGAGGTGTGAGAAGCGCTTGTGGACGGGGGATGGGTGGATGCATTGGGCAGGGCAAGGTGCACTGGGCAGCATGAGGGTGGGGTAGGGCGGCAAGTTGTTGCGAAGTGTAGTAAAGGGTTGGATTATTAAGAGGGGGTGAGAACGGCCATCCCAAATTCCCGAGGAGTACTCCGAGGGACGAAGGACGGAGTGAAAAGGTGGATGTTTGGTTGTTGCGAGCTGAAGCCAAACAGGATTGTCCGGCACTTGGGGAACAGCAAGGCACTACGGTGGCGACCCAGAAGTGAAAAAGAGTGAGAAGGGGAACGCATGTAGGGGCCAACCGTGGTGTAAAAGCCAGCGCTATGGGGAATGCACACGCCTCGAGAGCGAAGGATGCTTTCATGGCGTCACTTACTTAAGGATGTTCTTCATCACGTCATGCGTAAGCGGACGCATCTGCCGCTGCTTATTAATCTCCTTCAATAGTGCATTACTCTCGTTCTCGCCTGCAGAATTGAACGGTGGTACGTGACCACGCATGCAAACATGGTGCCGCACAGGACACACCTCCCATAATCGTGAGCCCGTTTAGCCCTTTCCCAGGCAAAGGGCATAACACGGCTTACCAATATGCACTGGGAGCACGCGCTCACGACCGTCCAGGATGCGCAGATACACCACGGCCTGCTGACCAGCCAATAAAAAAATCATGTTTAAGTTGTTGCCATGGCTTTATGCACAGAAAAATGTGAGCGCGAAAGCGAACAGAAGTGTCGGAGACCCGAAACACTCACATTTCCCTGACCAAGCCGAACCTGGTCCACCTGCACACGAACAGAAAGCGGTCGCGTCAGGTGCATCCCACACGTTAGCTTTTCAGCAGTCATGCCGGATGCTCTGCATACGCTTCGACAGGGGCTTACTTTTACTTCAACGAAACCGTCCAAGCTAGGGTCCCGCGAGGGTCCACTGCTGCCTTGCTCGTAGGCTCTGACAAGGATGCGACCACAGCGGTTTCCAGGCCCTGCAAACGAGCTCCTGCCGCAGGTCTGGGCCTGGCTCGACAACGCCTGGCCAGTGCCACGGCACCTTATCGCAGCACCCAACGTAGAGCAAACTGGCGTAGCAATGCCCCGAAATGCACGACCAGCTGGCAGCGGCGTGCAAAATAGCTGGGCCATGAGAACTCCAACGACGACAAGGGTACAAGGGTTTCCTCCGTTGCACGCTTTCGGGCCAACGGAGCTAACTGAAAGAGGGTTAGGTGGGGCTTTGTTGTTTTAATATGTTGAGTCGATTCACGACTCACGGATTTGAGAAAGGATGTTCGAACAACAACCGCAAAAAGGTAAAAAGCCTGCTGTTAGTTGGGGTGTGAGACTATATATATTTATACAGTCCTGTATACCTCCCTTTTGCCAACCCAGCGTCATCAGCGACTTCAGCCTGGTTCGCATAAACCGCATCAGAAGTCTGTGATGATTATACGGCCCGTACGATAAGGAATTTTAAATACCGCCCGCTAACCCTGACGGTTTCTGTATTCTGCCTTTCCTTGCTTCCCAAAGAGCAAAGCATACGTTATTAAACATTTGCCAAGGTGTTCAAAGAGCCTTGTGACAGACGCGCCATCGCCATCTGAAGCGCGTGGGCAAAGATGAGCGCTGCTCAAATTCAGGTACTCCTGTCTAACGCAGAGAGCTTTGCTGGCCTGATCAGCCAGACGCTCTCTCAAGACAACAGCACCCGCCGAACCGCCGAGGACCTTTACGGACAGCTTAAGCAGCAGCGCCCGGATGCGTGTGCAAGTAACCTACTGCAGCTTCTGCGCACGTCGGGGGATGCTCGCGTTAGGTCTACCTGCGCGGTTTACCTTCGTAAGGTGCGGCGCGCTTTCAAATTTGGACGGACCGTGGCCCCGACGGTTTTAGGGAAGGTCTTCTGCCTGGCAGGCAGCGTTCCTTTAATGTAACACCTGTCTATCCTGCATCCCTCAGTTCTTCAAGCCCAGTCGCAAGGAAGCTGGCTGGGAGCAACTCAACCGTAGCACCAAGGTGCGGCCTGCTAACCCCTGCTAACAAGGCAACTAAATTTGCTGCTTTGCTTTCCGTGTTATATCTCCTCCCTCAGCCCCTTAATGACTTCATTGTCATACTGGCACCACTCACCCCACGCTCTTACTGTTTTAATACCTCAGCTTTTATTACCTTCAGCTTACCCACCCACGTTCGTTCGTCCTACAACCCTCATCACAACCCGCAGACAGCCGTGAAGCGCGAGCTGCTCGCTGGTCTTGGCTCCGAGCAGGACCGTCCAGCGGCCAAGCAGACGGCGGACGCGGTGGTGGCGCTGGGAGAGCTGCTGCTGGAAGGAGCAGATGGGGGTAATAAGGGCTGGTCGGACCTGGTCACCTCGCTCCAGGCCTGGCTCAACCCGCATACAGCCATCCCCGCAGTGACGCGCGAGGCGGCTTTGCAGGTGCGTATGGGATTTCGTATCTCTCGTCGGGACGAGGTCGAGAAGAATAAATCGTCGCACTTACCCAACTGCGACCCACCTAGCTAAAGGACTTCATGTCCCCGGTGCTCTCCCGCACTCACCTTGGCTGGCGCGACAGACGGTAACCATACAACTAACGCGACGCTACATACCCTATGCACCCTATAACTTTACGCAAACTAAACCTTCCGCGATATTGCTCTGTATCGCTTTAGCACCGACTATGTTCTTTCCTGGCTTTTCGTATTTGCTGCAAGAAAACGTTCCTAGTCGCGGAAGATTGTTGCCGCCGGTCCACGTGCACCTATTCCATAGCTAAAAGGCACCTGACAGGGTTTCTTTGCCTGTCTCGCACCCAGAAACATCGGCCCCTCCCCGTTTCTGCCAGGTTGTCGCCGGTCTGGCTTCTGAATTGCGGCAGTGGTCGAGCCAGCTGGCGCCCGTCATTGTGGGTTGTCTGGGACTGCAGCAGGAGCCAGATGTGCAGGTGGCGGCCCTCAAGGCGGTTGTCGAGTTCTTGCAGGTGAGTGAGCGAGATGAGCGATTGCTGGAAGGATGTCCAAAACCCTTGTTGAGTGGATGGATGTCCGTTGATGAGCGCGGCTATTGGGGAAAGGGGAAGCGTTGCATGGACTCTTGGTTTCAGGTCGGCCCGAATACGCCCGAATGGCCCGGGAAAGCGGTGGGTATTTGATGACTATCCCCGCGTTCCCATCACACCGCCTGTCTCGCATCCAGAAACACTGCTGGATTCTTGCATTCCATTAGCCCAACCCTGCCTCATCGTAAGTCCCATCATTTTTTCTCTCTTAAAACCTGACTTCTGTCTTGATCTTGGACGTTGATGCCGGGACACCGACGGCGTTGACACTGTCGCTGGTGACTTTTTCCCCCAAGGTCCATCCTGCTCCATCGTGCTTTTCTCGTGTCATCTCATGTGGGTTCTCTCGTATCTCTTATTTCGTATCGTTGCCGACCGCCTGACCTCCCTCCTTTCGTGGTCTGTGTCCAGGCCTTGCGCAAGCCCCGGGAGCTGCGGCCCTACCAGGCTGCCCTGCCGGCAGCCCTCACTGCCCTCCAGCACGTCCTCGCCGCTGGGCAGATGTCCGCTGCGGAGGCCATGTTGACCGAGCTGATCCGGGTGGGTTGGAGGATGAGGTGTGCTGTTTTATTGGGTGAGGGTTGAGGTTGCGTATGTTAATAATGGGCGCCACTTGATGTGGTTGGTGTAGGTTTCAAGATGGAGATGGCATTCGTCCGGCCCACGCCCTTCCATGACTCTCTTCAAACGTAACGCTAGCCTTGATTCCCGAACCAACTTGTTCTCGGCAACCGTAACCCAGCCTGTACCTAGCCTTGCTTCAACCATAAAGCCTTACCGGCCAGTACGGCTCAGCAAGTATAGGGTTGATACTTTTTGGCTTTCTGGTTAACTTGTCGCCGTACAGACTCACTTTGACTGTAGTATTTGCTTCCTGTCCCTAATTGTCCCTCTTCCAGACTGCGGAGCGCGAGCCCGGGCTGTGGCAGCCTCACATCACCACCGCTGTCCCCGGCATGCTGGCCCTGGCGGGCCCCGGCCAGGGTGGCAACCCCCTCCCGGACGAGTTGCGGCGGCCAGCTGCGGAGTTTGTGCTCACGCTGACTGACATCAAACCGCAAATGGTGCAGGTAAGATTGCTAAAGGAGAGGTGCGGTCTTGGGCAATGGCAACGATGGGCATTGAGCTTTTGCCTTGGTAGCAAGGAAAGTATGGCGCGTGTGGCGCGTCCTCTGAATACTACTGCCGCGGCATGTTACTACTACTAACTCAGACGGCAATGTTAGCAAAACTAATATTCCTTTCTCGTATCCTTTCCCGGAGCTATGCCTCCCCCATTATTACATTATTGCATTTTTTACGTATTTATTCGCCGGTCGAGCCCATCCTTCCACCCTTTCCTGACCTGATCTGTTTTTACATGTCTGATCTGCCTCCCTATATGTCTTGCTCTCCCCTCTCACCCGCTTATCAGTCCGAGCTGGGTGCGGGTCCGCTCGCCTCCCAGTTGGTGGCCACTGTGGCTCACTTCCTGGCCAGTGGCTTACAAGACGACCCCGCGTGGGCAGAGGATCCCATGGCGTCACCGGATATGGACGAGGATGAATCGCTGGGTGGGTCAGCGGGATGGCGGTCCGTGGTGTAGAGGAGGTGGTGTAGAGGAGTTACCAACGAATCCCCCAATTGGAAGAACCCCAGCGCCACAGTGTCTCCCGGATGGTGGCGGCGTTAATGTGGACAGCGGTGAACATGTTTCTGCATAACCGAGGAAATATCTAATAAACAGATCTCCCCACTGCTATAATGTGTCTCTATTGATATTGGATGAATGTGTGATAAATTTTACCCAGGCGAGCTGCATCGCTACGGTCTGGAGTGCGCCCTGCGTGCTGCCGACCAGCTGGATAGCGCCGCGATGCTGGGGGCGGTGGTGGACATGACCACTGCCTGGGCCCGCGACAACAGTGACTGGCGGAAGCGCCATGCGGTGCTCATGTGCTTGTCGCAAGTAGTGGGCGCGTGCAAGGAGGTGCGAGCATGAGGACAAGGCAGTGTGTACATGGGTAGCGGCAGGTGGAATGGAGGGTACTTCTTCTTTTACATAGGTTTTCATGAGTAGTTGCCTTACCGCTTATAGACGTGAGTCGAGCTTGGGTACCTGCGAGCAGAAGAGTGTGCTTGCTTCCGTGGGAGGAGGCGAGCCTGGTTACCAATTTCGCGAGTTTATATATAGTCAGTACTGACTATATAAACTCGCGAAATTACTCTTTCCGTCGCGCTCTCCGCGACTTGCCCTTCGTTCTCACCAGTACGGCCCCGCCGTACCACCAACGAACAGCCGAGTACGCTCTCGGCAAATACACAGAAAACCTTGGTTTTCTTTCGTTACTCTCAGAAACCTTCAGTTATCATGAGGCATATCCGTGTCCGGTCCACAGATACTGAAGTTTGGAGACGGGAGGATTCAGTGGAGATTGCAGCGCCGGTGCCGGCTTTCCACCTTTCTTTTGCAGTGCGTGTTTTGTTGAAGGAAGCCACACACATGTACGGCCCTTTCCTGTTCGTCCGTTGCATCTTTATCATCTATTTATATACACTTTTATACACACCGCTTTCCCAACCCTGTAACCTACATGTGCAGGTCGTAGGGACGGCGGAATTGGCCTCCCTTGCCGGCTTGCTGGTAGAGGCCCTTCGTGACCCGCACGCCCGCGTCCGCTGGGCAGCCTGTCAAACCGTGGGTATCCTGAGTGATGATTTGGGTCCGGGTTTCCAGCTCCAGGAGGGTGGCGGCGGATCGGCGGTGCTGAGGGCGCTGACAGAGCTACTGGTGGAGCCGGATGGACCGTCGTGCCCGCAGCGCGTAAAGGTGCGAGCTCTGCTGCCTGCAACTCGACTCGTTGGAAAGGTTTTAGGGGGGACTGCTGGTAGATATCTTTGCTTGAAGGGCTAAGTAAGAGAGTAAACGACATTGTTTATTTGTTTGTTATAGCAAGATGCAAAGCTGGTTGAGTCCATCCCGGCTGGGTCAATTTCGGACTTCGCGTACTCCCGTACTTGCGTATTGCCAGGCCCAAGTACTCGCACACATTGTACTCACACGTAGGCTCAAGCCTGCCGCGCCGTGGTGGGCTTCCTGGAGGGCTTGGAGGAGGAGGACGGCAAGGAGGATGATGAGGCCGAGGTGGAGGCCGATCAGGCCGCTGCCGCTGCAGCGAAGGCGGCCCGCGTGCAGGCGGTACTGCTTCCATTTTTGGAGCCGCTGTCGGTTCCTCTGTTGGCGCAGGTGGAGCGATGTGCCGCCGGGGAGGGCGGAGCGGTGGCGGGTGGCCGAGCGCTGATACCCACCCCGCTGCAGGTAAGGGGCAGGGGCGAATGTGGAGGGAGAGGCGGCTGAACGTGGAATTGAGAAGAACAAGGAAAGTGACGAAATTGGGCAGCCAGCCCAATGTTGAGTCGTCGACATCGCGAGTTCAATGCGCTGTCTTCCCTCTAATACGCTTACGGTTTTGTTACATCCAGTCTCTTATGTCGTAGCATTTCATCCCCCCCGAATGACTTGTTCTTTCCTCGACATCCCTTTTTCCTTTCCCATTCCCCGTGCTCTCTTCCAACAGGAGTTCAGCCTGGATGTGCTGACCCGCCTGGCGGTGTGCCTCAGGGTAGGTCGTCGTGGTGAGGCGTGGAACGTCGGGCGTCAGGGTCAGGGCAGGGGTGAGATGGAGGAATGCGTGGCTAAGGTAACCTTCCTTGGACAATGTTCGGCGACCTAGAGCTCCTAGCAGCGTCCAGCATAGAAATGGTTCACGATGACTCACGCATTCATTCCCCCTACCCCCTTCCATGATGCCTGTCCCCACAACACTGCAGACCGCCTTCACCCCTTGCTTTGCCGTGGCAATGCCGCGTGTGTTGGCCGTCCTGGCACGTGCCGCGCCCTTCCACGGTCCCTCCGCTGTCGCCGCGGGGGCGGTCACCGAGGAGGAGGCCGCAGCCATTGTGCGCATCCAGGTGGGGGAAGTTCATGTCTATCTGCATGTTACCTATGTGACTTCTGGCTATGGTGATATGTAAGTGCTCAATTACTTGATCTACCAGCACTCAGGTGCGATTCGGCATCACGACTGCTAACTGCCGGTTCGAGGTCTTCATTCTTGCCTACTCCCCGTGCTCTGCAACCCTGCAGGTCGGTGCCCTGGAGTGTGCCGCCTTCATGTGCCGGGCCGCCGGTCCCGCTGCCGCCGCCGAGCACGTGCCCACCCTGTCCGCCATGTTGGGCCTGCTGTGCCGTCCGGACATCGACTCGTGCAGTCCTCTGCTGGAGCCGCTGTTGGGCGCCCTGGAGCCCTTGGCCTGCTGCCTGGGTCCGGAGGCGAGGCACTTGCTGGGACCTGCACTGCCGCTGCTGGTGCAGTGGGCGGGCAAGGACGTGAACCTCAAGGTGTTTGACGAGAGCGAAAGCGAAGGTACGTTGGGCTTGCTTGATGTTTTCATGAAACGCCATGGAGCACAAGTGGATGTACACCTGCCTAACTTCATGTCATGGCGTAGTGTGCTACTCGTAACAGCGTTGCGTAGAAAGTTCACATGGTGTTGGTGTTTTCTCGTGATCTCGATCTCGCTTGCAGGTGATGATGACGACAGCGAAGGCTCGGACCGCGACGATTCTGACATCACCATCCTGTCGTACGCTGACGTGGCGTACCGCTGTACCGGCAGCGTACTACTGGCCAAGTTTACGGCAGTGAGCGCTTTGGAGGAGCTGATTGACAAGATGGGCACAGCGCTGGCGCAACAGGTGGGCGTGAGTCCATGTGATGACAGGCGAGGACGGTTTCGGGGTCCTTTTACGAGGTCTGTTTAGGGAGATAGAGCGCTGAGGTTAACGCGGCATTGATAAGCCATGCAGTGACGTGTAATGGTGAGTACTGTGAGTACTTCGGCCGGTCACGTGGTAGGTGTCGGTAACTGCAGTTGTTTTGTGACAGCGGCTTTGGGCCGCCTCGTACTCGCCGGGGACTCAATGCCAACACCTTGTTCAACTGAATCACCCTCCATTCTGTAAGCGTCCCCTTCTGGTGTCCCCTTCTAATCACCCCACCGTGCTTCCTATCTATCCATCCATCCATCTATCCATCCATCTATCTATCTATCCGTTAATCCCAGGTGACGGTGGTGGCCGATGCGCTGCTGCCGCGACTGCTGGAATACTACCTGGACGAGGTGAGGTTACGGCAAAAGAGGAAACCCTGTCTTAGGTTGGTCTCGGAAATGTCTCGGAAACCCTGAGTTTCTTTCTAGGGTTGCGGATGCTCGGGGGTAAATATGTGCATGCTAAGGACGCAGTATTTGTTACTGGGTCGTTCATCGTCATTCATTATGGTTGAAACGTCTCCTTGGCTCGCACCAGCGCTTTCATGCCATCAAAACCCTAACCAATCCGCCTTTCCCTTTGTTTATCCGGTTCCCCTTATTATCTGGTATTCCAATTTAGGTCCATGCCATGGCCCGACGCGCCCTGCCCAAGCTACTTCGCAACTATCTGCTGGCGGTGGGTCAGGGCACCCTGCCGGCGGGTGACCACATGGCCAGCCCCGCTGCCGCCCAGGCGCTGCTGCACCGCATCTGGCAGGCGGTCACTCTGGTCATCCACCCCGAAGCTGCGCAGTCCGAAGCGGTGGCGCCGCTGCTGCGTCTGCCCGGCGGCACGCAGCGACCCGCACCCACGACCTCCACGCGGGCGGATATGGTAGAGGTGAGGCTGGGGCGGGGAGCGTGTTGGGATGTATTCTGCAGGACTGAGTAGGATTGCCGTACGCCAACGTGTTGAAATGGCTGCCTGAGTGTTGCACGTGCAGTCAATTCAAGGTTGAAGCAGTAAAGTATGGCCTAATGAAATCCTGTCGGCCATGTGAAGGTGTAGGAACATCAGCACAAGTGGAACATCGTGCGCAGCTCTTTTTATGCCTCTTGATATCAGGGTTGGCTTTCTTCATCTCATTTACACGCACACCCTTTCTTTCACGGAACATGTCAGGTTCTGACCAAGATTGTGGATTGCGTAGAGGGCACCATGTTGCAACAGAGCTGGGTGGCGGAAGCCTTCGCGGCCCTGCAGGTTGGGTGGGTGGGCGGTAGGGGTAGAGGGTTGAGAGCGGGAGTGGCGTTTGGTGGGTGCATCTGCAACAGGGGTGAATGCTTGGTTGGGAGTTCGTGCCGTATTGATGCCGAGTGCCCTAAATGCCCTAAATGGGCATCAGGAAGTGAGCTGCCTGTCTGCTGTCGTGGCGTGGGGCCGGCATTTTGTCGCGGCAATATGTGCCTTGTGGATCATCACCACTTCCACACCGCACTCCTGATCCAGCAACGGTACTTATGCCCTGCTGTCCTTCTTGCCTGGCTGTCTCTCTCCCGGCAGGCTGCTGTTGCTGCCGCCCAGCAGGAGGCCAGGGAGGAGGGCTCCGAGGACGAGGAAGAGGAGGAGGACAAGAGCATGAATGTACGGCAATGTTAATAGCGTCTTAGTAGCTGGGCCCTGAGTTTATTCATGCAAAATTCATGCAAAATATGTTCAACCTTGTATGAAAGCAATCTCGCAGCCAACTGCCTGTTGCTTGTTGCTGCGAGAATCTGGAGTTTGGGAAAGACAGATTTGCTGTTTTAATGGCTGGTCACAATGCTTTCTTAGCACTTGGCTTTTTTTGCCGTTATTTGTTGCTGCAGGGCGATGGCAGTGTCGATCTGGAGGCGGAGGGCTCAGATGCAGATGACGACGAAGACGAGGACGAGGACGATGGTGCCGAGACCGACGATGACAGTGAGAGCCACGAACAAGCGCGTGAGCGACTTCGCGCACAGGTAAGATGGACGGAAAGCGTGCATGTCGTCGCCTTAATCTCTGGACTCCTCAACGTGGCTTGGGCGCTCTCCTCGTGCCATAGCCTTGTCACTGTATTCGCGTCCAGTGATGAGCAGCGCTGGTAAAAGCCTTGTTTCGGGAGGTAGGTGCTGGTCCCTATCGTTCACCCGTCAGCACTCATGGCCACACTACAGCAAAACCCTAAGTCATCCCAACCAATCCCCCACCTACCAGGTTGAGTCCTGTGTGGCGGCCTTCACTCGCAAGTACGGTGATGCGGTGGCGAGCTTGGCTCAGCAGTTGTTGTCTGGCCAGCAGCTCGAGCAGCAGCGAGAGGCGGTTGTGGCCGTCAGGAACGGAATGGTGGCATGATGGAGAATGAGGCTGGCGGTTCCAAGAGCTGGATAGTGGGGGATGCTGTGTTGTGGGACCCTAGGGGAGAAGAGAGGGTGAAAGCTGACTCGGCGAGAAGTTTTGATTCGGCGCAGTTTAGGTGGCAGGGATGCGTTGTGATCGACAGGAGCTGGATTAAGTTGACTTAGTAGTTAACAGCTAGCACGGCAGTGCTCGGGACAACACCAGACAATTAGGACAGTTTGCCCTCCGACTCCACGAGAAACGGGGCACAGGCCTAACCTTGTGAAGGTCTGGGGCCTTTTGCCAATGGGAGCCTAATGGCAAAGTCTCCCGTAGCCTTTCCTTTTGGGTTGCTTCTTGCTAGGTGGATTGTGTTACCTGGTCTGGGTGGGCGTCTGGTGCCCTGGTGTAGTGCACGGCCAGCTGGCTCTGGTCCTCACGAGTCCGGAGCCCACTGTAACGACTACACACAATTAGGACAAGGTATTAGCTTGTATGGCCTCTGCCGTGAGCTCTACCAACTGTAGTGTTACCTATGTGCATTGCGCAATAGCATTTAAATTTTGCTTTGTGGCCATGGCCGTGCCGCGAGTTGGTCAAAGATAACTTGCGTGACCTGGATTTTTTAGCCCTAACTTTCCGTGGTCTGTTGGTGCTGTACTGCACTGCACTGCTAGCTTAGTCTTGGCCGCGTGGCTTGACGGGTGCTGGGGATTATGTGTCCGATGGATAGAAGGGTCATCGGTGAAGATGGTGTCTACGTCTTATCACACATGGTACAGAAATAACCGTGTAAGCACGTGCCGTATAACTATCAAACGTACTCAGCCCCAATCGTCATCATCGGCGCCTATCGTCTCATGACGTCGTCTAGCTCCCATAAGCCGCCCCTACAGCTCAATCCGTACTGCGCTCAAAGTGCCGTTTAGCCTATAGCGTCCCCCATCAAAATTTGCAACAGGGCCCTTCCATTTACTAGCTAATTTCTGCCTCGCACAACCGACACATTTTCGCAGAACTGCTTAACATTTTTAAACTGTCAATTAGATTGAAAATGCCTGCAGTAACCTTTCATGGTGGCTAGGTTAATGGGTATGTTCCGTTCAAGTTGCCGTTGTTGGCCGTTGAATGCGGCGATGAGAGGAATTCGTCAACCTAACCGAACTCACTAAAGCCAGCCTTTCACTCACTACCTTGAGCAGCTTAGTGATCGGCTTGGTGCCCCGTCGCATTTTGTTGTTCTACCTGCTGTTCGGCTCGACCCTACTCTGACTCCCATGCCCCCAAAACCCTTATTAGCATTGGGCCAGTGGCTGGCCATGATGATTAGGCTCTCAACCACCGGGCTGTGCAGCCCCGCTGGATTGCGGTGCAAACGCCGACACTGCTACACAAGCAAGTACACCCAACCAAAGAAGCGAGGATGGAGCAAAAAGAAGAACAGCTGCAGGTCGCAAGGCGAATGGCCATAACGGGTTGTGACAGCAACAGATTGCACACTTCAGTACGACAAAACCAAAGTCACTACTTATACCAAGAACTAACCTCCGCACAAATGAGAAGCCAGCGTACAGATCGTGCCATGGCATAATGGATAGTCTACAGTCATATGAAAATATAGATGATGGTCTTTAGGCGCTCCACAACTTCACAGACCCGTAGGAACCGTCGTCGCGTAGGCAAGCAGATTGACGAGCTGTTCACCTTCACCCCCGCCGTCAGCCGTCGTCCCTTCCCACAACCTAGTTCTCATATGCACGTTTATTTAAGCGATATTAGGCTTTGTTGCGGATTACGACTACCCATCCATTATCATGATCATATTGACCATGCATCGACCGTAATTTGAAAAGCCTGAAAGGTAGGCGGCAATAGCGTGGAAATCGTACACTAAAGATGCAACCGTCTGTGCCTGGAATATAAAGCTAGACAATTCTTAATAACTCACTTTGTTGTTATTCTCTGGGCCATGGCCTACAGATAGACGACCCTCTAGCTGTACGACTTGTCCGTTCATCCATTATACCGTACCGCCTTCAGTAATGGAGATAGTTTCAAAACAGCGCTCCGATTGTTTCCATGATAGTTATAATTATCCTTACAGTTTGGGTAATGGCCAGCATACGGACAATGGCCAGCTGAACTCTGGGTCTTGCAAAACAGTAGTAATATAAACACCTGTCCTACCCTCACAAATATCAGAGGGCACCCCATTATTTCCCAGGCTGACTAAGGTTTTGACGTTCGGTTTGCATGTATTCAGAACTTTCGCCGTGCGCCGTACAACTGGCTAGAGGGTAGGACAAACTGTCGGGCAGAGCAATTCTTTTGACTGCCCCGGTCGCACAATTCCCGTGCTTCCCTAATTCGACACCCTGAACACGCTGATTCTGACTGTCCGAATGTCCCTGCCAGGCCAATTCGACACCCTGTCAGCCTAATTCTGACTGTCGGAATGTCCCGCCAGGCTAATTCGGCACCCGGACAGGCCAATTCTGACTGTCGGAATGTCCCTGCCAGGCCAATTCATATCCCTGTCAGGCCAATTCAAGGGCCTGTCCCGGCAATTCAACTTGTCCCAGGTGTCAATTTAAACCCTTCTACCGAGCAATCTAGACCAATTGCAGGGTCTGCCCCCAAACTCTCAGGCACGCATTCAGAATCGCGGGAGTTGAAGGAACTTTACAAAACAAGGGGAGCACTTACAAATATCTCTCGTGTGTTTGTTGGTTTCAAATCCGTACATGCTTGTACTCCGTACTGCCGTACTCCGTACTCATTCACCCATACATTCATTGTGTGTGTATGTGTGAAAAGTTACCATCACCCGAACCGACCAGAACCAAAGGTGTGTCTGCATGGCAAGTCGCTCACAATTTTAACACCCGGTCTATTCATTCATTCCTTCGTTCAGACAAGCAGACATATCCACACGCCTCGTCTTGAACTGTGCTTCAGTCCTGCTAAGGGCCCCCGGCACTCGACCAGACTACATGTGTTCAAAAAGATACCACCACCCGAACCGAACCAAACCAGGGGCATGTTAACCACACCTTTCATTCGTCCATTCATTCATACATCCAATCATTCACGCAGACAAAGAAATGTAAGCACACGCGCCTGCCCTGCAGTAGTGTGGCCCGGCACAATGTAGCTGTAGTAGCTGGTACACAGTAAGCACAGTAAGCTGGTACACGCATAGCACGACCACCAGCATCTCGAGAGGCCTTTTCAGCGGCCAGCTACTAAATAATGCATGAACGTCACATAGAGGAAGGTAGCATAATACGAGCCGTCAACGATAGGACCATCACCGCCAACCGGACTGCGTGAACCTGTCTCCAGTGCGTCACGCAGCACACTGACTGCCTTGAAGCTTCCAGTTGAGGGATCCATGTCGAGGTCGGCCAACCTGTCTGTCAGTGAATGGCGGTAAGTCAGCCACAAACCAGTCTGTACCTAATTCCAGGTTGGATAGAGCCTACTTGAGAGTGGCGCGCTGGTTCTGTTTGTCCTTGTAGTTGAGATCCTGGGACGAGATGTTGACATGGGGCATGCGCTTGCTCAGCGCGCGCAGTGCAGGGAAGCTGATGAGGTATGGCCCGATCATCATCATCTTCCGGGGGTTGATGAGCTGGCGCCTGCAGCACGTGTTACAGTGTCGACATTGCTGATCCTATTTGGTACCAGTCATTCGCCCGTGAACGCATGGCCATGCTCCTGGCTTTTAATGTACCCTACTGCAGGCCCGCGTACCTTAGGCGCCAGCCAATGTGCATTTGGTCAATAGTCAGCACGACGGGTTGGAGCACGGACACCCACGTCACTGCAAGGGGCAATGTAAAAAGCTACCTCCTCCGGCTGGCGTTGTTGTCCTTTGATGCTGAGACCCCGGATGATACCCCGCAGCAACTGTTGAATTGTGCCGTCAACGAGTCCTGAATGTCAATCGATGTCCGATGGTTAACAAGTCAAGGCATGTGTACACGCACGCCAGCCTACACTACTCACGCATGCCGACACTGCATCATACCTCGTTGTTGTGATGTTTCGAGCAGTCGGACGGGTTCACTGCGTGATGCATCTGCCCGAGCGTATGCCTGTAGCCTCACTCTATCAGCCTGGAAAAGGGATGTCCGCCGCTTAATCTCCCTGTCCAGCACTATTCGATCTGCCCGCTCGGCGATCAATGCGGATGTGACCACCTTGAGCCGCTCAAAGAGCTCAACGTGTCCCGCACGCTCAAGTCCCTCGGCAGAACGGAAGGGGACAATGACACTTGGGTCTGTCGCGACTCGCTGTGTCGCAGCGACTCGCAGTGAAGCAGCGTCGGCTGAACGCTTCAATTGGTGATTTCTGTTGAGGGCCAGACACGCGGCACACGGCCATACAGCTGCGGAGGAGAAACTGCAGACAACGGACCGGATGGAGTCGATTTCGCCGTAGTATGCTGGAAGCTGATTCTCCCGGAAGAATGTATCCGCCTGTGGTGCCATGTCAGGATTCCCATGTGGGTTAACATTTGTCAGGCAGACCAACACGCTAGCCTTGCCTTTGCCCGACCCACATGCACTGACCTTAGCAAACCACCATGCCATCAACAACCCGGGGTACCAGGCTAGCGCGCGCCCTGCATCGCCGCCCGTGTCCATGATGGCGGCCTCAATGTCCCGCGGCCCCAACACACCCGCCTGGGAACAGCCGTATAGGCAGGCGTAACATTCGTCGCGCAGTCCAGGGCACGACATCCCACCGATAACACGGCGCCGACGCTCGGCTAGTTGTTGCAGGAAGGCGGGGCGCGCTGGACGGGCGCCCGGCATGGGTAACGGACCGGGCAACGGCGCCGTGCTTCGAAGCCCGCGCTGCGACAACAGGTCTGAAAACATGGCATACCGGCATCCGTATCCAACACTGCCGGTGCGAAGGCTGCGAAGGACGCATACTTAACTCCACAGCTAGATCCATCGAAGCCACAAAGCGCCTGAACACAAAATTGTGGGTACAGGACCGTGCATGGCGCTGGGTGGCCACAGCAACACAAGTTAATCGTGTGCTGGCGTCCACAGACTCTGCAATCAAGCTGACGTTTCTCCAGGACTTCCATAGCAGAGGCCTGAGACTTCTCCGCCCCGAATACTTCCATGCATGCACCATGGTTCATTTAGCACCGTTCGACACAAGAACCTATGGTGATAATATAAACTGGCATACTTATTGCAATGGTTTACCGAGATTTTTAGAAATGCTTCCTTACTGTCTAAATACCTTCAGCTTTTTAAAAGGAACACGCCTTAGATATTGCACAACAACGGCATAGAGATGTATAAGTATACCAAAAGCACTTCTAGCGCCGCGCACTGTCATGCATTAATGCCTACACCACGCTTCCGTACAACAAGAGTTTGGTGCGCATGTAAGTATGGGTTGCAAGCATGTCACAGTCGATAATCTTACAATAGTATTACATACCTACCCAACTTCAGCGTTTAGCGTTGATTACATAGAAGATAGGTTACTTTCGGGTAGGAGTGGCGAGTAAATGGCCGCTATAGATGTCGCCCTGGAGGACACTGCGGAAGATGGAGACCCTCGAGACCAGCTGACACGAAGTCCAAATGACGCGTATGTCTTTTCATGCTTTGTGGCTTCCAACCATGCAAATGCGCCATGGTGCACTTGCAGCCATTCGCCTTCACTCGGGGTTTATTTAATTCTCTGCTGCGTCTATAGTCTGATGTCGCGGCTGTCGCGACGTGTCTCCACGATGTGCTGGACGGGGACGATGAACGGGTGGATGCTGTGCGTCGTCAATTCGAAGAAGATCTCGGCGTCTACTCCGTTGGTGAAGCATGGGAACTGTTCCAAGGTGAGAGATTGATCACAGAGAGAAAAGCGCGAGTCCGTGCCAGAGACGTGGGGCGGCGATGTCCCCGTGCCGAGAACAACCGGAAACTTTGCGAACGGTGTTTTGAAAGACAGTGTGTCCTTCATTGCAGAGGATTTCCAGCTCTCCCCGCTTCGCACCGCCATGGCACTGAGAGGGAATGTACCGGGCCTTACCGTCTCGGACGCGAAATCCCTCTTGTTCAAGATCAAAACGGCATCGGAGGGGGCCGTGGAGGATCAGGGACACAGGGACGCGGAGACTGGCACCGTCGAGGACGCGGCGGAACTGTGGTCCCGATGAGTGCACCAGCCGCCATCACCGAAGCAGAGGATGTGCCACCCCGCGTCAAGTCGCGTGGTGCTACTGGTAAGTGGCGACGTGAGATGTGTGGCAGGGAAGAGTGGGCAACCTAGAAAGGAGGAACCCACCTCACCCCACCCACCCAATTGTATAATGTTATACATACCGACGTCTATGAAACATCATATCATATGACAACAGAAATGCCCCCCTTGTTTTACAACCCTGTGTAGGCGAGTTCAAAACAAACTGGTCAGACCTCGGCGGTGTAGACCCATATGCCTGCTGCATCAGCGGCGGCATCAGGGGGTTGTTCATCGGTGCTAAGACTGGCAGTACGCGGCCGGTCGCATTCACCAAGCAATACTGCTGCTGAAAGCCGCTGTGGGTTATGCGTGGTTTGATGCCATACTACAATGGCCTGTCTGTTTTCTGCGCCAACGTTTGGCGTTTGTGCGTGGGCAATCCGGGAGTCAACAGCAGGAGGGAGGACCCCTGACATGGGGAGCGCGGGTAGCCAATCCACACGGAAGTGTCGTGGTTTACATGGGCCCAGGCGTGCAACGTTTTGTGTCAGTGTTTGGTTGCATGGGCGGAATACCGGGGGCGATTTCATGGGCCATGCCCCGCCCAACGGAGCTCGATGGATTAAGGCATAGATTGCATATGGTGAACATATTCTTCTCGGCAGACATCTGCATTTTCATTTGTTTCAATGTAGCTCGTGGTACTGAGTTTAGCGGTGTATCAGAGATTTGTCATTGTTTCCACCCGAACCTGTTCATGCATACGAGTGTTGTGGGATAAACTGGACGAACTGCCGATGAAGTGTGGTGGGAAAACAGTGGGACCTCGGCGGCTGACTTGACTGGGTAATGCAGTCGTGGCCCTGAGTGCTTGTCTCCCGTAGTAGTAGTAGTAGTGCCAGAGTACGGTAACCAGGTGTGCAAGTTTTCCCACTCCATGTCGTGGGATCGAAACTAATACGCACATGAGGCACTTGTAAGCGGTCCTCTTGCAAAGTTTTCTGTAAATTCCTTAAAAGTCATGTGCTTTTGGATGCCAGCCCGAGCTAATCCTGCCAACTTGACAGCCAATTCGACACCCTGAACACGCTAATTCGATACCCTGTCAGGCCAATTTGACACCCCGAACAGGTCAATTCGATACCCTGTCAGGCTAATTCAATACCCTGTTAGGCCAATTTCGGCACCCAGACAGGCCAATTCGACACCCGGACAGGCCAATTCAGGCCCAGCACAGCCCAATTCCGAGGCTCCACAGCGCAATTCGAATACCTCCGGCGAGTCCGCCAGAACAATTCCAGACCTCGGCAGACCAATTCTTTTGTCAGGAATAAAATCCAGGCTAATTCTGCGACAGAGCTCCTCCCTAATTCCAGCCCGGATCCTACCCTCCTAACTGGCGACGCCTGCCTGAAAATAGATTTAAACAATTACTCCCTAGTACAGCATTGGGGTATGGCAATTTAAATGTAAACCATTAAATACAAGTAATAAGAGGAGTACGGGTAGGCGGTAGACGGTAATCCGTATTATTGTCTATCTAGCTATTAGCGAGGCCTGCAGGTTACAGCTGCAGCTGTGTGCAGGTGAATCGCCTGTACATACTATTCACCTCCGAATATAATGACCATCAACGAATAGACAACCTACTATTTTATAGGCGACGTGACAGCTATGCCTTTGGAAGCCAGCGTAAGTCGAATTACACACGGGCGATATCACGAATTGTACTTCAAAAACTGAGTACGGGCCCACCACCTATCCTGTCGTACCAGTCTGCTGGGCCTTACGTAAGATGTAATTATTATGGTTGAAACATGTTGGTTGCAATTTGAGCCCGACTTACTGACTGAAGGTCTTCTTATCGTCTGGATCTGTCCCACCGCTTTGTCCTACCTTTGGTGGCGTCCACGCACGGGTCTTTCGCCTGCTCTGCTGCGGAGGATACTCCCCACGAAGGAGCTCGTCTCAGCTTGTAGCAGTAATCCTACCTTGGTAATCCAGGTGCGGTTCCTCACCCCTGCTTTCGTTGGCTAGGCGCCGGCTTTATTATAGTCGTTACAGATTTTAATTCGTTGCGCCATCCGTAGTAGTAGGCATCGGGGCAAATGACGCTATCCCGCAACTAACAAAAATATTGGAAAATTCTGTGTGTCCCTAACGAAAGCAGGCCTGCCTTGGTGTTCAGCAGCAAGCAAGAGATCGACGGAGACGTCATCGTCCCGACCACCATCCATTGGGCGGCGTGCGGGATTGGCCTGACCATCCAGACAGCAGGTTCGTGCTTGGGGACGAGAGGACGAAATCTATTCCGATCATGCAGCTGAAATAATATGTTTGGATGGGGCTCCCGGGCACATTTAGCCAAAACGCAGCGTGGGAAGGCAGGGAAAGGCAGCTAGCACATTGTCCCACGTGCTGTCCTGGTTGCGGGCGGACTACACAAGGTTTGCCAGCGCTAGATTCGTCTTAGAAACGAAAAACGCTAACATATTTTTTGCTTATTACATTGATGTCTTCGCGACCACGAACTCGCGCGGTGCCTTCAACGGTCACCCGACTATGGTCTACGGAAACTGCCAAAACATTAAATTTGAGATTCGTAGCATTAAATCGTTCCAAATTATTAGAGCGCGTGAGGTGAATAGCCCGGCCATGTCGTCCCTGCGTTCGTAGAGCCATTGTACTGCCAGCTACTAAACTTACTATTGTACCTGCCTTCAACTCGCTCACACATGTCTTGGAGTCCTTATTAATGTACGGTTGTGTAAAAAATGAAGTGATTCATGGCATGTATAGGGGCTTCTCCAATTGGTGGTGTGGGGGTACGATGGGCACTAAATTTCATTAGTTTCCAGCGAAGGACAGTCCCAGCAAAGGCCTCACAGCAAGTGGATCAAGCCAAAAAGTAATATCATTATACGATGTACAGGTTAATTAATCCAATCCCGCATGGCTAAGTGAAAGTGTGATGGTTTAGGTGGATGAATTGTTGCGTACGGTCCAAATGAACCCGAAAAGAGCTCATAAACCGCCTTAATTTTGCAAATATGTAAAGCATACAAAAGGATAAAACAACCTGTGAAAACAAATTGTGCGACAAATTGCTAGTCTGACATTAGCTAGGGCGAAGTTCGTTAGGACGCCCGGCGAAGTAAGTTGCTAAAATAAATAGATAGGGACGGTCCCTATCTAACATGTACCAAGGCGCGACCATAAAAAGTTTACAGCCGCTACCTCGTCGTCCTGCATCTAGCCCATCCACTTCCAAATCGTTTTTATATATAGTTGTTTCGAGCTAACTACTTATAATGATCAAATAAAGCAATGAGTTGTTTGTTTTCCATTCGTACGAAATAGTGGAGGAATCGTTAATACGGACAATACGGACACTTTTAATAAAGGACTCGTAATATCCCACTGTGTGGGGTTATCCCACTTCTCCCCTTCTCAGGCAACCAGATATTGGCAAACGCTTTGGGATTTTCGGGTCGTACCGAAACTCCCGAAAACAGAAATAGAGTTACCGAAGCCGGCCGGCTTGCAGAAATATGATCATACGCTGTATACGAATGTCAAGCTATTGCAAAAAACGCATTTTCATTCCGCGGCCTTGTAACAGAAATTGTACTGGACGACAGAAATCGACCCGTTCCCGAAACCAGAAATACCCCGTTTGCTGATCTCTGCAGGCAACGCTGTTCCCCCCTGCATCCGTACTTGCATCCGTATTTAGCAGGTCGGAAGTAAGGCCTAGAGACTCATGCAAAGGAAACAGCCGCTGGTGGCGGCCAAGATGCTGGTGGCGGTCCCGGCCATGAGCCGCCGTCGCCAAGCAGCTATGACGTCTCCAAGTGCCACAGGTGGATGGATGTCCGTGGCGCTGCTACTGCTGCTGCTTGGGCTCCTGAATGTACAACTCTCTGCTGCAAAAGTATCACCGCCGCCACCGCCGCCACCGCCGTTACCGCCGTCGCCACCGCCACCACCGCCGTCGCCGTCGCCACCGCCACCACCGCCGTCGCCGTCGCCACCGCCACCACCGCCGTCGCCGTCGCCGCCGCCACCACCGCCGTCGCCGTCGCCACCGCCACCACCGTCACCGTCACCACCAC